ATATTAAATAATGTGGCAGACAAAGCATCCCCCTGCCTAACTCCACCTGTCATTGGAAAGCTATTGCTTACATTGCCTTTAAATAACTACTTTTACATTGCTATTATTCATAGTCATTTGCAATAACCTTATTAATTTTTGTGGAATTTGAGACTCATGTTAGGCATTTATTAATTTGCTTCTTATCACTCTATCGAAAGCTTGCCGGTAATCTATGAACAGCATATGCAAGTCAATCTTATATTCCCAGGCTTTTTGCATTATCTGTCTCATCACAAATACCTGATCAGTTGTTCCTCTCCCCTTCCGAAATCCACACTGGTTTTCCTCCAGCATGTTCTCAGCAAATACGTTGAGCCTCACAGAGAGGATGTTTGAAAAAATTTTATAGGCTACAGCCAATAGAGAAATGCCCCTGTAATTTTCTCATTGGAGTTCATCTCCTTTTTTATATATCGGGCATATCAGACTGGTGCACCACTCCTACTCTTGAGGCATGATTTCATCACTCCAGACTTCCTCCAACAGTAAATGCATTTGGCTTATTAATTCTCCTCCTCCGTACTTAAAGAATTCTGCGACCAGCATATCCTTTCCATGTGCTTTGTAATTTTTTAATTTTTCAATCGCCTCAGCCACCTCTTCTATAGACAATCATTTTTGACTGAAAATCCTGACTCATAAACTTTACTGCTCCATAAAATTTCCTAGTCTCATTTGTTGTTCTCAATTCCTCAATCTGCTCTATTTTCCTTTTCATAAAATCCCGTTTCTTATTTTGAATAATCTTCTTTGCTTTTTTCCGACTTTCTCTATATGCTGTAGAAGTTTGTCTTGTAGAGCGCTGCAACATCACCGTCCTACATTGATTTCTTTCACGCAGGACCTCAAGATATTCAGCATCAAACCACTCCTCATTCCTTTGCCTACTTAGTCTGTGGGCCAGACCCCCTTACCGTGCACCCCCCCCCCACATCCCTATAAATTGCATATCGTTGTGTTCCTTGTAACTATTTATTAAAAAAAAGCCAATGTTCCCACAAAAAAAAGTGAACGCACTGCCCCAAAATGGCGTCCAAAGATGGCGGATTGACGACTTTGACTTTAGTTAGTTTTTTGGTCACTGCGAATCAGCATTTGGCTTAATTTCCTCATAGTTGGTCTTTTATTAAAGCTGAATAGTCATAGAATAATAAACCATGAAGAAATATTAAAAAATAATTGGCTTAGGCTATGAAAAACACTACTAAAGTCAATTTTTTTAACAAAAAAATTTTCAAGTTAAAAATCAAGCGTCATTTGTAATTAAACGGCCTACAATAACGCAAAACGTGCTGAAATAAACCATCTGGAGAATATATTTTTCTTTCCAAAACGCTGATTATTTTTTAAAAACTTTTGAAACAGTTCCGTAGAAAATGCACTTATGCGGCAGAAAAGCGGTACTGGCGTGGGTGCCTACAGGCCTCTACCACACCATTCAGTACACATAAATGGCTTAGTTAAAGTGATATAATAACATTTTTGGTACATTATATTGGTTTTATTAACGAACAAATATTAATGCAATAATTTAATTGTAAAAAAAAAAATTAAAATTTTTTAAAAAAATTTATTATTTTTTTTTTATTTAACCTTCTTTATTCTACACGTAGGTCGTTTAAGAAGACCTTGATTGTAAAAATGATATAATTATAATAATAAAAAAACTTTGCTAAATATCTTGATTTTTTTTAATCTAATGTTTGCAATTTAACATTGTGTTTTGTATATTTACTGATTCTTAAAGGTAATTAAAATTTATATATACTTCCCAGGAAATGAGTCGTATTAATACCTGTTTTATAAACTAAAATAATATATACCTAATCTGAACTATATATAATGAATAGCTGCTGGGTTGTATAGTAAAACTCATATATCACTAATTAAAAAATTAATTTTTATTTCCTTTATTTTGTGCGGAAGTTGGACTTTATCATAAATAAATAGGAAAGTTTATTATTGAATGAATTATTCTCTCTGCACAAAGAAAGATAGAAACGGTGACGCTATAAGTTCTTCTATAAGCCAGAACTGATTGTTTGGATTTGGTCTTGAAATGAGGAAAAAGGCGAAATTGAACCCGAAAACTGGAAAAATACATTAAGCGAATGAGAAAGGAAGTGCCAAAACCTCGGAAAAGATAAAAAGTACCAGTATCCATTATATGGCTAAACGAATGTATAGTAGACAGATGAAGAGAATATTTCAAGATGCTGCTAAAAGGGGGTCAATTGCAGTTTGGATGATATTCTTGAGTATAATTTCTTTGGTACACTAAACAGGAATGGATCTTGATGGGTATTACATTAAGAATCGTAGAAGCTTTAATAAGAAATATTGTCGATTGCCAGAGCGATATGGATTGAGAAACTCAAGTTGCACATTGGAAGAGAAGTTGAAAATTGAGACTGGCTTCACTTTAAGGCAGGTTATAGAGAAGTCTATGTACAACGAAAAATATCTCTCTATCTCCTTAGTGCCTTACTCTTTGGATTGTGCTAATATCTAATTGTCTTTCAGAAAACCAGGTTTTCCTTTTAGATTCCTTAAAAAATCGTTTGCAAATGCACTAAGCAGAAGGAGAGCTATGAGCTATAACTTTCTCGATATACATCTCTATATCCTGCTTCAAAGTGAAGATAGTCCCGATGTGCACCTTCAGCAATCGAAAATAAAGTGATTTTTACCATAATAAACCTACATCGTCCACTTAATATCATCCAAACTGCACAAAGACCAAGACCAAATCCAAACAATCAGTTCTGGCTTATAGAAGAACTTTTAGCGTCACCGTTTCTATCTTTCTTTGTGCAGAGAGAATAATTCATTCAATAATAAAATTTCCTATTTATTTATGATATAGTCCAACTTCCGCACAAAATAAAGGAAATAAAAATTAATTTTTTAATTAGTGATATATGAGTTTTACTATACAACCCAGCAGCTATTCATTATATATAGTTCAGATTAGGTATATATTATTTTAGTTTATAAAACAGGTATTAATACGACTCATTTCCTGGGAAGTATATATAAATTTTAATTACCTTTAAGAATCAGTAAATATACAAAACACAATGTTAAATTGCAAACGTTAAATAAAAAAAAATCAAGATATTTAGCAAAGTTTTTAATTAAGTTTTATTATTATAATTATATCATTTTTACAATCAAGGTCTTCTTAAACGACCTACGTGTAGAATAAAGAAGGTTAAATAAAAAAAAAATAATAAATTTTTTTAAAAAATTTTAATTTTTTTTTTTACAATTAAATTATTGCATTAATATTTGTTCGTTAATAAAACCAATATAATGTACCAAAAATGTTATTATATCACTTTAACTAAGCCATTTATGTGTACTGAATGGTGTGGTAGAGGCCTGTAGGCACCCACGCCAGTACCGCTTTTCTGCCGCATAAGTGCATTTTCTACGGAACTGTTTAAAAGTTTTTAAAAAATAATCAGCGTTTTGGAAAGAAAAATATATTCTCCAGATGGTTTATTTCAGCACGTTTTGCGTTATTGTAGGCCGTTTAATTACAAATGACGCTTGATTTTTATCTTGAAATTTTTTTTGTTAAAAAAATTGACTTTAGTAGTGTTTTTCATAGCCTAAGCCAATTATTTTTTAATATTTATTCATGGTTTATTATTCTATGACTATTCAGCTTTGATAAAAGACCAACTATGAGGAAATTAAGCCAAATGCTGATTCGCAGTGACCAAAAAACTAACTAAAGTCAAAGTCGTCAATCCGCCATCTTTGGACGCCATTTTGGGGCAGTGCGTTCACTTTTTTTTGTGGGAACATTGGCTTTTTTTTAATAAATAGTTACAAGGAACACAACGATATGCAATTTATAGGGATGTGGGGGGGGGGGTGCACGGTAAGGGGGTCTGGCCCACTGTGTAACTCTTCTCACCTATATCTTCCTCTGCTGACCTTTCAATAGCTCCTCTAATTCTCTTCCATCTTTTGTCTACACATTCTTCTCCCTCATCGTCCTGACTGTCTATCAGATTCCTATTAATTCCTATCAGATTCCTATATATACAAATTATGTATATAATCATGTATAAAAAATTTTAATATTTTCTCTTACCAACCATGGTTCGAGCACTGAATGCTTTCAAATAAGATGAAGTTTGCATTGATTTTTAATTAGGTTACTTATAATGTGTTCAGAAAAGGCATTGGATTTCAGGATCCTGTGTAGTTTGGTTAGGATATTGTGGTTCAGTTAATTTTAGATTGTGGTGTATCAAGTTTTTAGCTACACTGGTTTTTTGGTGGTAAGGATGTTGGGAAAAGTAGTTAAGGAGATGGCCTGTAGGTAGTATACAGGCCATGGAAATTTGAGTTGTATACAATCAATTAAGTTGTTTAGAACAATAATGGAGAGACATTGAAAATTCCTTCCACCTATTGAATCAACTAAAATCTCTTGACATACCACCACATTTCATCTTAGCCTCCCTTGATGCAGAAAGTCTCTTCACCAATATCCCTACAGACAGTGCTCTCCAAATAATTGAAGAAAATTAGTCTACCATAGAACCGCACACTTCCCTCAATCAATCCTTATTCCTTCAGTCCCTCGCTCTATGTTGTAACTCTGGCTACCTATGTGTTCAAATAAATTTTTTCATCAAACTTCCGGCGATGGGTAATTGCCTTGCACCAGACCTCTCTATTATTGTCCTAAATAACCTATTTGATTCTATACTACCCAAATTTCCCAATGATATTTTTTTCATTAAATTAAAAATCAATTATATTTTCTTTCTGATTTGGCAATATATCTCTGTTATGTATATGTTTAGTTATACATTTATTATTTCATTAAAATATGAGGAATTTGAATTGTCAAAGTACTCACCTAACTAGGAAGATCACATTAATATTGTTTGTTAAATGATATACTAGTTGATTGTATTTTATTTTTATTTTAGGAGAAGGATACTGATAATGAGTCAAATAGTTTAAAAGAACTTGTTGAACCAGAAAATTCAGGTATAAGATCGCCACCAGAAGTTATTGAACTTGATGAGGGCACTAAGCTTAAAAGTGAAGCAATGCATGCTGCTGTGTGGAAATCTCTGTGTGAGGTAACTTAATCCAAACGTATTTATTTATGAAACATAGGTTTATCAATCAAAGTCTTAAATGTTTATCGGTTTTTAACTTCAAAATTCATAACAATTATTGAAGTCTTTAAACCATTGATATTATATCTACAAGTTTAAGTACACCACACTATTCCCTCTTTTTTTTCTTTTTCTCCCATCATAAGGATGTACTGCGCCCTTATAGAGGCCTATTGTTGGTTGTTCTAAAACTCTATTCAAATTGGCCGGATGCCTTTGTGAACTTGATACGATCACATTCAAAGTGAAATAATTGCAGTCTAATCAAATTATCACATCTGCATATAATGTGATAGGCTGTTTCATCCTTCAAGCCACCCAGCCTCCAGGTTGGAGTCTCGCTTAAGCTCAAGCTAAAGAGGTGCTTATTGAGTCGACAGTGACCAGTATACTGTCCTGTCACACACCTAATGGTACTCATGTCCATTAGAAGAAGTTATACACTTCTCTTGTGACAGGGTCCTTCTAGGAGTAACTTAGAGTGACTTTGTTTCCTAGTCTGTTCCAAATAGAGCCTAGTTTTATTGCCAACAACTGCTTTAATATGCCATTTGGCACAGCTGAGGCTAATCCCACAGATGGGCTCTGGTGCAACCGGCGCTTGTGCAGGCCCTTCCTAGCAAGGCAATCAGCTTTCCCATTGCCTAGATGCCTGAGTGCCCGGGTACCCATTCTACCTTCCCTCACCTTGTTGGTACTACAGAGAAAGTTCAGATTGTCTTTACACTCATCTTCCTACTTGTAGTGGGTAGCATATCTATTCATGGCACCAATTGCCGCTTGACTATTCATATATATTCTAATCTATTTGTTTGTAATGTTCTCCCTTATTAGTGATTGAGCACAGAAATCGATAGCTAGAATCTCGGCTTTGATAACAGTTGTATGTCTACCTAGAGATATGAATATTCCCTCATTAGGTTTATCCTTTCTCCAGACGCCAGCCCCTGACCCTTGCTTGATCAAGGATCCGTCGGTATAACAGTTAACTCCATTGCATGCACCATGGTACTTGAGAGTTATTCCTGCCTATCATCGAACTATAGACTATGTCTCTGTATTCATGAACTTGAAGGTCTGAGTTCATCGTGAACACCTCGTTGCTATCCTATCAAAAACGATCCCATGTCCCTGAAATGTCAGAAATTTCAATCTTGTTCCCAATTTTTCCATTCTATAGGCAGTTCTAAGAGCATGTGCTTCCACATCTATGTGCAGTGGTGTCAGATTCGAGAGAACGTCCATTGCAGCTGTGAGAGTAGTGCTTATAGCTCCAGTAGTCATAAGGCATGCAAACCTTTGAAGTTTTCCAAACAGTACTCTAAGCTTGCTTCCACACCCTTATGCCACCACACCACAGTTGCATAGTGGATTAAGGGTCTAATCGCAATCCTATATAGCCATAGAGCCATACTGGGTTTCAGCCTCCACAATTTGCCAACAACCCTTCTACATGAACATAAACAGCATAGAGCCTTAATACTAATCTTTTCAATATGACTCAGCCAATTCAACTTATAAGCCAGAGTAATCCCAAGATGTTTTACTTCAATATAGATAATTAATGGTGACCCATTTAATGATGATGGTCTAATATTGTCATTCCTTCTGTTAGTGAAGATACATAGATTAATCTTTTGCAGATTTATGCGAAGCCCATTGTCCGGGCACCATTGTTTTAGAAGTTTCGTTATATATACGAGCAGTCCAAAGATTGTGTCTTGAAATTTCCCCCCTATTAATACAGCAGTATCGTCAGCGTAACCCGAGAATAAAACCCTGTCTCATTCAGTTCAGCAATCAGGGAGTCAAAGACCAATCACCAAAAATTTGGGGACAATATGCCCCTGTGGACAACCTCTATCAGGTTTAACCCTCAGTACTTAATGGTGGTCTTAACTCAGATTTAAGGACTTAATCCCTCAGGACCGAATTAATCCATTCTGAAGCCAAGTGTCCAACCCCTCTCCTAGCCAATGCCCTAGCCATTCTATCGTTGAGAGTACCATCAGAGACACCTTCAATGTCGACAAATGTGCCCACCATAATCTCTTTCTGCGATAGACTTCTCAATTTTTGAGACCAAATAAAGCAACGCTGTCTCACAGAATTTGCCAGCTTGATAAGCAAATTGAGCACAGTGTAGCAGTCTTATCAGTCCCTCTTACTTGGCAATTCTGTTAAAATATTTCTTCTTAAGAAAACATTGGGAATTGAAAAATAACCAATTGTTAGGGAAGGAGAGGAATTTTAGTTTTTAGTCTGATAATTCCATTTTTTATTAGTACTTGGCAACAAGAGTACTAGTACTAGATATAAAATATAGAGAAAAGGGTTGAGGCTTGATGTATTTGTTTTATATTTTCATTGTTTCTCATTTTTTTTTCTTTTTCATTTGTTTCCCAAATTGTATGTTATAAATAAGGATTTACTATATTATTTTTCTATTGTCTATTTTTTAATATTCTAGTAATCATTCTTACTGGGTTGTTGCCATATATTTTCCAACTACCCAAAAGTGAAAATTCATATTGAAAATAGTTCAGTTACATTCTTGTAGATGTCAGAAGGCACAAAAAATGTACATTTGTAGGAAGTTTTTTCCACAGAAAAATGGAAAGTTCTCTTTAATATCAATATTTGAGATACTATGGATTTATATTTGAGATACTGTGTGTTTTGTGCAAAAAGAAGCAACCTACTAATTAACACGAGCAGTAATTCTCATTAGAAAATTACAGTGATCTATACAGTTCACTGTAAACTGCACTATCACATGTTCATACTCAGGCTAACAGAATCACCTTTTTTAAAATTTGTATTGACAAGTCTTCTACAATCTGCTGATATTGACAAAATAATGTTCTGAATAGGAATAGCATTGAAATTAGGGCACACAATAGGCCTGTTATGGCTGCAGTGCATTTTGCTATTGGATAAAAATCTGGTGTGGTGCGCGCATCACACAACTTTCACTTACCATCCTCTTCTTAGCAGAAATAAGTTTTTTCAGACAAATGGGAAGTTAAAGTAAAAATTATATATACTATATTGATTTATATTTCATTGTGGGTGTTTTTATTTGTATAAGTACCTTATATATACAAATTTTAATATTTATATCGCTATAATCTATAAAATTAAATATTAAATAACACCAACAATACCATTCATGAAAACTGCATATGTATATTTACATAATATTGTCGGAGTCCTAATTATATTAAGCTCATGTTACGTAAGGAAGCGTGTTCAAATCTTTCGGGTGAGCTCTGGTGCACTCGTTTTCCTTTGGTTCCTCAATTACAGCTATTCTTCGTTAGGATATCTTATTTCTCCTTTAGTTAATTGTCAAATTATTTCATATTTTATATTTAACTATCTTTTATATTAGAGATGAATGTGATTCGTATGTTTCAAATACGAAAATTAAAGGTACTTTAGGGGAAGCTAATATTGAAAATTAGCCATTTAAGCTCTGTTATAGGACATCAATCAGATAAATCCTATGTTTTATTTAAAAATTTGCCGATTTTGACGAAAAAATTGCTGTAACATCCCAAGCATATAAAAACCTTAAATATGCAATTTCACGATATATATTTAAGAGAAAGTAAAAAATTTAGATGCATATATAATATATCATTCAAAAGATAAAAATATTTAGAAAAATTAGTGTCTAATATATATCAAGTACTTGCTATAAGGTAATGGAGAATGACTAATAATTGTTGGAGTTTCTAATTTTATATTATTTAATGAAATGGAATTAAAATTTATTTTTGGCTTGATAAATAAACTGAGTTTATGATTATTCTTATGATGAAATTTGTTTAATTTAATGAAAATAAATTTTTCTTTTGAAATGAGCAGCAATGATCTGTGGTTTTTAGCTGTTAATTCTATTTACATTTATTGTTGAAATGACATTATTGAAGTTTATTAATTTCTTGTCAAAGTAGGGTACCTAATGGATGTTATGTGACTGTGACCCGTGTACCACACCAGATTTTTATTGTTTTTTTGTAATTTTATTTAGACATATTTTTCTTTGCTTTTAGGTTAAGCCATAACATTAAATATTAATTAATTAGTTACATTATAACGTTAATTAAATTTTACAGATATATGAAGTTGCAACTGAGATTAAGGAATCATTTGAAACCCAAGGAATAGAAATAGCATCACAGATGTCTTATTATGATTTCCTGAATTATATACTAAGTATGTACATCTCGATTTTTTTTTATTTTTAAATTCTTATAATTAAATTATCATATAAAGCTTATTAAGTTGTATATGCTGTGTTAATGGTTATATTTATAATGTTTATAGGATACTATGACCATAAAATCTTTAAGATTTTCATTACAAATTTTAGTTCTACACCTAAGATGAATATTTTGATTAGTGAGAATAGTTTGGTTATCTGAAAAAGTATATCTGCAGTTTACAGTACTGTAACTGATCTATACGTTTGCCTTCGTTGCTTTAGTTGATATTAATGTTCTTATCTCACGTGTTGTCGCTGAATTTTAATAAGAAACACTGATTTATATCTACAGAATGTGGAGTTACTTACAGAATATCTTATATATAGTAAAGGAAAGTAATGTAATCATCAAAAATTTTGACTCCGATTTTTAAGAGACATTTCCGTTTTAAAGTTTCCTGAGTCCAAATAACCAAGTCTCCAAAAATGCTATGAACGGCCTAGTTCAAAAACGAGATAGTTTTTCCTTATCCGTCTTCCTAATTATTTTTTCTATGGATCCCCGCAGCACTTCCCTATGCCTCTCTGATAGTCATTCATCGCTTATTTCACAACTGATGCAAACATATTTTTTCATGTTACAACAGAAATATATAAACATGATCAAATAAAACTTTTTGAATTTGAAATAAAAGTACATATTAGAGTAAAAATCAATCTTATTAATTGGATCAATATTATGGGTGTATTGGGGAAA